TTGGGATACACCAATCCCAGATTTGCATTGACAATCGGGCCAAGAGAGGTGACTTTGTCCCACCTTGCTTGTTGACACAGAAAACAGCAGCTATGTTGTCGGACACAATCTGCACAACTTGACGGTGTATGACGGTTTTGAAAGATTTGAGAGTGTTGAAAATCGCTAGAAGCTCGAGGAAATTGATAAGCCTCTCCGCTTCTTGTCGGTTCCAAGTCCCTTGAACCCGAAGTCCTGCACATGCCGCACCCCATCCAATGAGGGACGCGTCAGTGTACAATGTCACATTCAGTTGGGGCGGACGGAACGAAACGCCTGTAGATAGGTTGCATGTAACAGTCCACCATGTCAGGGAGTGAAGGATCGAGGATGGGATCCGAAGAAGCTTGGTTTGTAAGTCCCACTGCGGGTGAAACGATTTGTTGAGGAACAATTGAAGCAGCCAAAGTCTGAGTCATGTGTGCGGCACAATGGCCACTGCGGCCGCCATGTGCCCCAGCAGTCTTTGTATAGTGACAGCTTGCACTGTTCTCAGTCGTCGAATCCGATGAATTTGGGCACACAGCGTGGCTCCGTGGGATGGAGGAAGAAATGCTCTTTGTAGAATGGAGTCGATACGTGCCCCGATGAAATTGATGACCTGTGTAGGGATAAGTGACGATTTCTTAAAGTTAATGCATAGGCCAAGGTCATCAAGCAAAGTACAAGTCGTATGGACAGCTGCAAGGAGGTTGTCTTTAGTCTGTGACACAATCAGCCAATCATCTAAATAGGGGTAGACTTGTATACCCTGAAGCTGTAAGTGAGTGCATACTGGGGCCATGCATTTTGTAAAAACTCTCGGTGCCGTAGCTAGACCGAACAGAAGAACATTGAATTCGAAAATATCAGATCCAACAGTAAAACGCAGGAAGCGTCTATGGGAAGGATGAATGGAGATATGAAAATAAGCATCCTTCAAGTCCAATGAGGTGAACCAATCCCCTTTTTTCAGCAATGGAAGGATATTCTGTAAGGTGGTCATCCAGAACTTTTTTGGTTTGATGTATCTATTGACATTTCTCAGATCCAGGATGGGTTGAAGACCACCATCCCATTTGGGGACTGTCAAATATCTAGAATAGAATCCGTGTAGCCCATCGGTGCGAGAGAGTTGTCAAATCGCTCATTTACAAAGAAGTTGGTAGACCTCATCGCACAAAACACCGAAGATGGTGGCGTAAATTGGATAGGGCTCAACGGTGGAACAATGTCGAATTCTATTCTATATCCGAGCTGAATGATGGACAACACCCACCTATCAGATGTAATGGACTCCCAAATGGGGAGTTGGCTTTGAAGCCGGCTCCCTAAAGGGAGAGGGGAAGGTGGGAGGTGGAAAGATGAATTGGTTCGCTGGGACCGTCAACGAGGGCATTTTTCGGTGTTGAAGCGCCAACGGTCCTGAGAGAAGTGCTGTTGAGGCTGTTGCCTTCTACACTGCTGCCTCTGTTGATATTGTTGGCGAGATTGATATTGCTGGCATCCGTAAGGCCTGGAACATGGTCACTTATGTTTGGTTTGCAAGAGCTCCATGCGACGTGCTGTCATGCGGGATTCGTGGATAGCTTTGAGTTTCTGATCAGTCTTCGCGTGGAAGAGGCCAGTGCCATCAAATGGCATTTCCTCTATCCTCCTCTTCATTTCCTCAGGAAAGTTACAATTCCTGAGCCATGTATGCCGTTGCAGGGAAATAGCACTGACCATGGCCCAAGAGTCAGTGTTCACATGACATCTTGTGGTGAACAACTGCTGTATGGCCACCTGCATCGCTTCCTTTATAAAGACCCTGGCAAGGTCTGCCTGTTGGTCCGGGAGGGAGGAGGCGATGTTATCCAGCTTCTGCATTATGCAGTACTGGTAACGTGCCAGAGTAGCTTCGTAATTTGATATGTGCAGGCCAAATCCTGCAGCTGCATAGACCCGAAGCCCAATCATGTCGATTTTCCTCCCTTCCTTATCTCGGGGTATTGTATGGCCCTGAGCCTCCCTGCCCTGGGACGACTCGACCATCACAGAGTTGGTCTTAGGGTGGCGCAGCAAGAATGGAGTATCTTCCTCTCTGACCCGGTACATAGACTTGTACCAACGAGACGTCGCTTGCGGTTGTGCCAGTTGATCCCAGGGCTGGACCATTGCCCGGTGGAGCGTGGTGATAAGAGGCAAGGCAATGGTTGCAGACTGCTCTCCCTGGACTATATCGTAAAATCGATCAGTGCTGGGGCCGGGGCGATGGTAGGCCTCTATTTCCAGCAACCGAACTAGACGAGAAACAAGTTTCGAGAAGGAGACATGGGGCTAGTCTGGGGATCCAGGGTCCTGGGAAGTGATGGCCACATCCGGGGATGTGGAGTCTACTTTCAACTCGTCCGAGTCCTGGTGGCAGCGGTAGTGTTCGCTAGACGAGGAAGTCTCAGGAGATGGTGGAGGTCTCCGTTCTGTACAGCCGGAACTTGACGGTGCCTCTCTTGGGATCGATGGTGAACGACGGTTCCGAGGGAAATAGGCATAGGATGGATATCCACTCCAGCCCGGGAAACTGCCATAGCCAGGCAGAGGCCAGTCATCCACTTAGTGTTCCGATGAACGGCTCCTACGCCTAGGCGGCGACTGTGTTCCCTCAGGTGGCCCAGCAGTAGGCATCGGAGTCGGGGAACGTTGCCTGGGTGGGGAATCTCTAATTTCTCCATCAGAGATGGACTCCCTAAGTGGTGGCTCCGGTGGGGGAGACACGCTCTCAGGCCGAACCACAGGCTTGGGGGATCCCGGCGGAGTCACCTGCATCGCTGATTGCAGGGCCGGTCCTGAGGGAGTCAGTACCGTGGCGGTGGTTGGTACGGAGAACCCTGATGAACCTGAGCCCCGATGTTTGGGGTGGTCGAGTTTCTTGCCCTTATGGGCTGCCTTAGCCGCCTTATCTTTATTCGGCTTCTTGTCCCCGGAGGATTTATCAGGTTCTGAGTGCTTATGCTTCTCCTTTTAGCTGGAGGAGAAGGTAGGTGTTGCGCTTCTGTCGAAGCAGCGCCTTCGTCCAAAGGATGCTGCGGTGGTGCGGCCGATGTTGAGGTGAGGCGCTTAGAGGGTGTGGCCGTAGAGGTGGAGCGCTGCAGCGGCACAGCCGAGGAAGGGGTAGGCCTTGAGACCAACTGGTCTGATTGTAGCAAGGTCTGATCCCAGAGCAACTTACGGAGATGATTCTCCCTACTCTTCCTGGCCTGTTTAGTAAAGGTCAGGCAATGCCCACACTTGTCGGTTCTATGCCCCTCACCAAGGCAGAGGAGGCATAAGTCATGTGGGTCAGTGGGAGACATTTTGGAGCCGCAGTTAACACTTGCGGAATGCCACCCACTGTGCCAGCGCGAAAAGGAAAAAAAGAGATGATAGTACAGAGGGTAAGAGTAATATTTTTGTTTTTTTTTAGAGAGAGAGAAGAAAAACTACAATGAGGAAGAGAAGAAAAAACTGGGAATATAATGAGGAACAAGGTAAGTAGAATAAGGTATAACCATAGGAGCACAAGGTGAAATCTAAGTGAGAGATGAACAGGCACGAGACACAGTGAAATGGCGGTCGCAAAGACTGAGTAAAATGGTGGACGCTCTGCTCTATTTATACTGTAGCGGGGAGCGGAGCAGAACTTTTTCCCACCATAAACCGTTAGCTTCCTAATCTTCCGGCTTAGGCACTGTGCAGGCGCAGCACCCATATGTGTGATGCACAGAGGCCACGACGAAGAACAACTGCAGTTTAAGTATTTGTCACAGTCCTGTACAGATCTGAGAACAAACCATGGGAATTACTTTGAAAGAAGAGCCCTTGGCATGCCAGTATTTGCTTCATTCACCTTTGTCACATGCCTTTGGAGGAACTGTTTGCAGTTTCTACTTTTAAAATTAATGAAGTGAATCCTAAAAATTTTAAGGGTAAAGAATTGCAGATGACACTGTTTTCAACCCGAAAGAGTACTTTGGTCACAAAAAGGCTGAATAAAAATATGTCTTTGCTGAGGTAGCTGATTCAGGTAGCAGCGCTGCTGCTTTTTTGTCGGCAGCTACAGTTCTAACATAGTCAGACCCATTAGTTTTCTACAACAGCAACTCAGGTCAAAGCCAAGGAGGATGTTAGCTGAATGATGATATACTGCTGAGCCAGCAGAAAGCTTCTGCATTAAGGATGGCACTGTGGGGTTCCCTGGCGATCAGGCACAGTGTGCCTCTAGGCACAAGGACAGGAAGGGGAAATTATACAAACAAGCTGAAGTCTTTCCCATGACTGCCACCATTTGTTGTTGAGTGTAAAGCCAACACCACAGTGTCTTGCAGCAATGTTAAATATGAGGCATTTATTAATGCAAGCACACAACTTTCACTGCTCAGTTAAAACTTCTGTTTTGACATTGATAAAGATGCTTCAGTGGCACATTTATTACTCTTGCCCTGGAAGGAAGCTCTATTTCCTTTGTGGTCAAGTTTTCAAAGTATTTTTGTATCTTAAAAAGTTACCTAATCTCTTATTGACTCACACAACATATAATGTTTTCAAAGGTGATGGAGAACAAAAATTAAAGCAGCATACAAGTATGTTTAGGGCAGGGGTGGGCAGATGTGTCTGGATTCCAACTCCTATCAAAAATCAGTCAGCAAAACCAGTTAGCTAATCCATTAGCTAACCTGTAAGCAAAGTTGTTCTTCTACCCAGATGTTGTTCAAATATTGTAATTGAAAACAATAAAGTTACAACCTGAGATCAAAATAGTTTATAAGTATTCCTTACAAATTCAAGTAGCAACCCTTACAGAAAAAAGGTTGGAGTAAGGAAATTTCCATCAAATACATTTTGGTCTCATTCCAAAACATGTCGATAATTATATTCATTAAAAGTGCAATCCCAGAAAAGGTGTGTTATCTTATGAAAAGAACCAAAATAGAAAGATTAGCACTATAACTGATGAACTGAGAAAAGAGTTTACAAAATGTATTTTATTAATGAAAAGAATCTGCTTTGTAGATCAAATATGAAATAGAATGTACAAAAACTTTACATCTGTTCTTTCAAAGAAATAAAATGCTATTTAGAATTAGCTTGTAGCCATTCCTTTGAAATACAACACAAAATGAATGGATATGTTTTATGGCAGCACAATTGTGCACAGTGTTTTCTGTGCTAAATCTGCAATTTTTAAAGAAGTTAAAAATCTAAATAGTCTCCTAAAGAATACAACTAATCCACAAAGTAACTTAAAACATATAATTCAATCATCATATATTCTCTTAGAAGCAAGTGGCAGGAAGGACAAGTGCAGGGTTCTCAAAGCTTGCATATCGCATTCTCAGTTCCTATACAAATATAAATTGTTCTTTATTTTTAAAAGTCTATTTGATAATATCTCACTGTGAAGAAAACATATCTTGATCAGAATCCCTTTACCTCATCCATGCAATGTATTCCTTAGCTCTGAAGCTCGGTAGTCAATGCCATCATGGCATTATTTTTCAGAAGTTCAGCTGCAAATCTTTGCACTACTTTCTTATGGAAGGTTCTGCAGAGCTCATAACTTGTCTTTGGCATATAAGACCAAGTCCCCTTTTAATACTTTTCTTTTAAAAAAGTATATATTCCTTTAGTAAAACACCTTAAAAACATCTATTTCAGATTTTGTAAAATAACGCATCACCTCCTCCTATGTTATTTTGCAAAATATACACCATATTTTGGAGGGGACAGGAAATGTCCACCACTGGAATTCTGAGTGGCACATAATTAGACACTCCTTCCTTATGTAGGTTACATAAAGTCATTCAGTTCAGCTTCTAGTGCTGCTGCCATTTCATCTGCCTCTGAACTGCTCCCTTCTTCGTCTTCATTGCTAGACCCTTTACTTGATTCACTGGCACCATCATCGTCATCTAACTTTCGCTTGTGACCCCTGCAAATGAGGACAGAGATAACAATCACAGTTAAAACACTTCCTGTTTATTAACTCTATTAAAAGAAAGGAAACAAGCTACAAACAAGAGTGTAAAATTCTTACAAGATATCCAGAAGAAATATACTAAATATTTAGCTCTTTTAAACCATATAAACATTTAAGTGCTGCTAAGAGACTAAAAGACATTTCAGGTGTGCAGGCTTAGAGCCTAATAAACACAAATGAAAAAGATAAAGGAGAGGGAAAAGTAAAGCAAGCAATTCAAGCATTAATTCTAGGACCTTCACAATCTTAGCAGTCTTATCTGATCAAGTTTTTGAGTACACATACACAGAAAACCGAGCACTTCTTAATCTGCCAATGAGAGACCATTAAATGCTTTCCTTCACTGCTGCAATCTGACAAAGATTCTGCTGATTTCTATGTCGTGCTAGCTCTGCTATGGTGGGGTGACTTTTGGAGGCTTTTCTTTACTTCCAAAAGAGCTTCAGATCCACCTAGAGCTTATGGGGCAGTAGAGAATAATAATATGGCCCTTAACAACAACAACAACAACACACCCTTCCATTAACATCAACGGGCATAAACTATGCATCTCTTGCTGTTTATGGATCAGTTCAGAGGAACAGGGAAGTTTGGGTCCCTGTGGATCCAAAGTCACTCTTGGTCTATTTCTGACATGCACTCACTTTTTCTAATATACTGGAGCTCCAAAAGTGGAGCAGCAATGGTGTTTTTCTTTTTGCTGAAGCAAGGAAAATTCTGGCAGCAAACCTTCATCCACTGACGTTCCTCTGTGCTCATGGAAAGGAAGGTCTCCAACACCTTTAGACCCCTGGAATACCCTCTTAAGGACTGCAAGTGTGTGAGAGAGTGCACTCATATGGACGCAAATGCAGAGACACATATGTATACAAGTTGGATTTGACAGCATTACTGTATAGTGGGGAAATCTGCCCCAGTATTCCTCATACAAAACTTCTTCTGCTATGGCTAGTTGTCAATGGGGGAAGTATCAGGACTGTTTTTTCCCCAAAAGATAGGCACATCATGCAGAATAATGATGCATTTGGCAGCTAAACTCAAAAAACAAAAGACTTTTCTTTCTTTTTTTTTTTGCTCACGAACTATGATGCTACCTTCAGGCAGCTCTTTCTTAAAATGTACCAAGGCATTTTATTGTCAGATCTTGTCCTATATTGGATAATTAATATGCTTGGCTTGAGACAGTATTGGCCTTGTTCCTTTTGCACACTTGAAGTAGCATTTCAAACTATTCCCAGTTGACAGAAAGCCTGGAAATTAAACGTGTAACAGCACAGCAGCTAGACCAAGTAATGCAAAGTGCACAATACATATATCACTGAAAAGTATAGTGGGAAAAAGTCCTAATTCCCAGTCAGGCTACCGTAAACTGCCCAGAGAGCTTTGACTATTGCACAGGATAAAAACAGAATGACCAGAGCAGAGCACTAGTGACTCTGGATCAAGCACTGACTCTCAGAGTAACCTATTTCACAGGATTTGGGTTCCTTTGCAAAAGAAGAAAACAAGTGGGATATGAATAAAACATTCTCTTAATCTTGCTACCCAGATAAAATTTACCCAACATTAGTGTCCGGTGTCTAAGAAGCCAAAAATATATACCTTTGATAATGCCCTGCTGGACATTTGCTTAGAAAATGGGACACCTGAAAAAACCCATATCCTTGACGGTCAATGCTCTGACAAGGATGTCAGTAGTTCAATTTGAGATGGTTACAATAATAAGGAAATAAACATGCAGATACATATTACTTCTAGTTATTTCAATCAAGAGAAACTTTTGGCTGCAGAAAGCCAGTTCCAACTTTACTACTTCAGCATGACTTGTGGATGGAGCCAAGATAATTACACTGCTAATTAATGAGTCACAAAGATGCCAGGTTAAGAGTGGCACTATATAATGTTCTGAAGTAAAATCCAGAACATTTCTACACTATTGTCTTGCCAGCATAACAAACAAACATGGGAGACTTAAGCAGGAACTATGTATGCAACATCAGTAAACTGGTAATTTGAAGGCCAAAACAGACATTACTTTAAAAATAATTGCTATGGTCCCCATCCTGACTTGATTTTTACTACAGAATAAATGCAGGGCCTCTGATCTACATTGGGATCCTTAAGTGGGATAAAGGAGCTTTAACAATTTCCCCCAGTTAATAGGCAAAATCCTGACTGAGAGCCTTGACTACAGTTTCTACTGCAAAATATTAATTCATAACAGTGATTACCGTTTTGCAATAAAAAATGCAGGTGTGAAGAAAAAGTGATCTAGATTTGGGCCATCCCATAGGAAGACAGGATTAATGTCCCCTTATTCCCCATGCTAGTTTTCCAATCCAGACTGCAGGCTCCTGTGCCTGCTATATATAAGAAGAAAAAGAATACACCTTCAGATATAGAAATGTAATTCTCTGTTTTGCATTTTTTTCTCTTTTGTATTATACTCTGCCATGAATATTGTTAAAAAGAATGCAACTTTCCATCAAGGAAGATGAGTTTGACTTTCACTGGGTATATTTGCTTACTTATGTTACATTTAAGTCTTTTCTACTGAGATTAGATTTTATACTTGGTCAGTTTTAGAATCTTCTCATATGGATCTCCTTTGTTTATTAAGATGGATAGCATCCTTCCACTCTTGTGGTTGCTAAAGATGAATGTTGGATTATATTATGTCAATTACAGTTTAATCCATTTTCACAAGCTAAATTGACCTGATGGCAAAATTATGACTCAAAAATTGGTAGGAAAATGTTTTCATGGCTGACTTGGTCAGCTGAATTGATTTTCACTTCGGATTGATTGATGAGTTTTATCCTGTTTGGATTTGTGTGCCAAATATGACTTGCCTGGTGAATACTTGCAATAGTAACATTTGTTAGAAGCTATGTTTAGCCCAGAAGCTTTTAAAACTTGTCTCCTCTGCTACTGAGGCTGATTAGTTATAATAACTCACAATCCATGTTTATAAATATTATCAGTGAATAGTATCACATGGTCTAAAGTCGGAATGGAGCGGGAAACTAAAATACCCTATTTGGTCTAAGCAATGGATCTTTCCTTTATTTGAAGTTCTAATGGATCTCAAGTTGCATCATATTCAACCAAGATCAATTTCATGTTTACTGGATGCCCAACATCTCTTTAATAAGGATTTGTCTGAGTTGGCTACTTGCTAGAACTGTAATACTACTAATGGTTCTTTCAAACATATCTTTTGACACTGTTCAGCAACTGCCTCTTTTTGGAATAGACTTATAATATGGATAAAAGTTGTACTGGAATGCTTTTCAATAATTTACTGACTCATACATTCTTTTAAATGATCCTTCCCTACTTCATGGAAGTTAATGCATGGTCTCTGTACCCTTTTAACAGTTAAAAGACTAATATTACAGCACTGGACGGATAAAGGCTCATTTCTTCTAATGATGGATGGAGGACATAATGATGGAGATCTTTTGAATAGATGCACATACTGACATTTGCTCTGCCTTTGTTGAAGTTTATGTATAATTGCTATATTCAAATCTATCTGTATGTAACTTTTTTTGGTTGAAACTTTTTATTTTTAAAAGTTGAATGTGAAGCCCCTGCTTGGTAGTTGCCATGTGGTGTGAACCTGGCAGATATAGGTTATGTGAGGATTGACCAATCCTCGTATAAAACAGACCATTTTGAATAATCCACACTGGGCTGTTGTATTGAACAAACAGCCCCATTGGGAAAGTGTGCTGGAAAAATTTCTCTGCTTTTCCCACTTTGATATTTCTGTGCCAAAAATGACAGTAATCACTGAAGGGCTGGGTTGATGCTGTGCATTTTCTAAGGCTGATAAAATAAATGCTAATTATAGTTCAGTGTTTTCTTGGGATATCGTAAGGAAACTATCTTCTCCTGATGTTACTTTGCAATTACTGAGAGGGAAAAAAATGAAAAATCAGTTATTTTATTACTGTGCAGGAATGAACAGCATTATCACACATCTAAAATAAGGAATGCAATTAACACCTTTACAAAGATCCTTTAATATTTTGCTTATAAAACTTATCACCATCAGTCTTTCCATATCAACCTCTGTTCTCTTTGACTACCTATAAAAAGCAAAATACTAATGAAACAGCAATAAAAAACTTAATCATACATATACGAACCAAAACTAATCCAAGGACATTATAGAAAGAAAATGAAAGGTAACAGATCCTGATTTTACATAAATGGTAACAGACCAGTGGCACTTTTGTCTCCTCCTTGTACAGCATAATATTGTACAGTATAATATACTCTTCAGACTCATAATAGAGTCTGAAGAGTAAGGTTAGACTAATTTCCAGGATTTTTTAAAGGGTACCTGAAAAGTGAGCTGTAATGCCCCATCTATGGTCATCTTCTCAGCAAGAAAGTCAGAATATTCTTAGCAAAGGAGTACTATTCATACCCTGTCCGGAGCTGTTTGTGGACCTTTAAAATAAATGCATGTTCCAGTTGCTGCGACCAGTCAGAATCGTGGTCAGCAGTGGGCACCTTTTTGTCCAAGGGCTGTACACATACACGTACAAACATGTGCAGGTGAACATAGACACTCTTCCCTTTCTTGAACACACAAACGTACTTGCATGCATCCACAGTGCTACCCCCTGACACTCCCTGTTCTCCATTGCAGAGTACAGAGATAGGAAGTTTAAAGGTCCATTTCTGGCAAACTGAGATCACTTCATGCTTCCCTACCAATGTCAATCTGCTGGGAAGTGAGGGGTGGATAAGGAGGATGGATGACAACACATGAATGAAATAGGGGACACGATGCAAAAGAACTCTCCCAATGCACCTTTCCCCTCATTTACACTGTGCTCCCTGCCAAGCATTTACTTGTAGTATGATGTGTTGAATGTGGTGGAAGATGGCATGAAGGCCTGCCTCTGAGGTTTGCACATTTTATGGGATGCTCT